AGAGAGAGAGAGAGACACAGAGAGAGCGAGAGAGAGACAAAGAGACAGAGAGAGAGAGGGGTATAAAGAAGCAGAAAGAGAAACAGAAAAAAAGAGAACAGGAAGTCTGAAGAAGACAGGGTCAGAGAGAAAGAGCAACAAATGACAAAAATAGATGGAGCAGCAATCAAAAGGGAGACAGACTTGAAAATAACAAAATAAAAAGTTTTTAGGACGAATGGATGACTGTAATGTCCCCCTAAAACGGTTGACTTTCTTTTTTACATTTCTCTTTGTCTACAGATCAAACAAGTGAAATATAAAATGGGAGTTCGGTAAGCTTGAGAGATGTTGGTCTGCGTATTTTTTTCAGCTTTGGACAGAGCCAGGCTAGCTTTCTCCATACACGCTGCCAGTCTTTATGCTAAGCTAGGCTAACCACATCCTGACTCTAGCTTTCTACTTAAAGTGATAGTTCGGGTCTTTTTGATGTGAAGTTGTATATGAGGTATAATCATCCATACTCCAGTTTGAAGGGACAAGCAATGTACTGCTGTGGACGGGGGAGGCAGCAAAAGTTGAACCATATTTTGGAATATTTTGGCCGGCTTACCTTGCCATGGGACAGCTATACAGTCTATGTTTCCGACGGGGGAACTGAAGTGGTTTTCTATGCTCTCAGCAAAGCTACCACACTCCATTGCAAGGGGTAGACCAGCAACCTCCCTGTCCCGTGTTTTGCGAGGTAAAATTACAGTTTTGGTGGTTTCAGTTCCCAGTCGGAAAGGGCTGTCTCATGGCAAAGTAAACAGGAGGATGTATTGTAAATATAGCATCACACTTTAACTGATATGGAACTTTTTGGTGGGGCTTTTCTTTTAGGTGTCTAAAACACCGTGCAGTAACTCCTGTGTGCTTCTCCAAGCCGGAGGCGGGCCGACCTCCATCTGTAGGTAATAACACACTGACTGTGGATAAGAACCTCATACAACCCCACTTCAAAAGATCCAAACTACCCCTTTAACACACATGACGTGAGAGTGGTATCTTTGGTATCACGTCACTTTACTGTCCTTCCAGGATATTCACTTTTAAATCAACGAAAGAGACATTTCTTATCAACAGAACATGATTGTTTTTCTGTCTTCCTCTTTTTTACTGCCCCCTCCCTCGTTTTCCCACTCCTCAATTTATACCTCAACCCTCTGTCCCCGACTAAAAAAAATAAATACTCAGATGTCATCAATTTCCACCATGGCGACTATGAGAGACACAGAGAGAGAGAGAGAGACGGAGAGAGAGAGAAACAGAGACGAGAGAGAGAGAGAGAAAGAGAGAGAGAGAGAGAGAGGACAGGAAGAAGTCATTAATTACCAGGAAATGCTGGCGAGGCAGCGGCGCACCTGTACGCCAGCTTCGCTCCAGCTGACACACACACATATGTGTACACATTTCTGCACACACACACGCACACACACACTCCTGAGGGAGCGAGGCCCTGAGGCTGCTAACAGACACAGAAAGGAACCAGCAGAGACGAACGAATAAAACTGGACTCACGGAGCCAAATCACTGGAACCGCCCGTCACACATCGGATATTATACACATCAAGGGTTACATCTGACACATCAATTTAATAATTTACTGTGTTAAACGACTAAAATAGTGAAAAGGTTCTCAGAGCCCAAACTGAGGATGGAAGACATTCAGTTTACGAGATAAACCAGAGAACAGCAGGACATGCTCACAAGTATTCTTTCTTGACTTAATTATGGAAGTTCAGTAGTGATTAATTTCATGCTGATCAACTAATTAATCATTTGTTCTTAGCACTATGGTGAAACTATACTGTTTGTATCCCTTTGTGATCCACTAAAACCATTGAATCAATCATTCTATACTTTATTTTTCACCTGTTTTGTTTGAAGTCATTTAGTTCCTTTGTGTGAAATGCTTGATGCTCATCTTGACCAGCACTCCCTTGAAAAAGAGATTTTGAGTCACTGAGGACTGGTGGTGCGACAGTACAATGGTCTTCAAGGTTGCTTGTGATAAAGAAAATAAATGTGTATTTGATTGGCAACTAAATCTTAATACAATGTAAAAACGGAAAATGTAAAGATGGGAAAACGTGACAGTGATCCTGAAACACAACATTATCGGTAAGCGTCGTCAGATACTGAGATGTCTTCATGTCCGTGGTTGACTGCTTCATGGTGACGGCTGAGAAGGAGTGACTCCTTATGGCAAATCTAACAGTTTGGAGCATCTACTTCACTACTTACTAGAAAATACCAAACAAACCAAACATTTTGACAAGAAACCCTAAATTAAAGATGTATCACTGCTACAGTCACAGGGTCAGTCCCTTTGAGCAAGGCACTAGCACTGCCAAGGATAGAGGTTCGGTTCCCTCTGCAGTGAAAATTGACCGATCCTAAGTCTCACCCCCCTCTTAGTTACTGTTGCTAATTTGGACAAGCTTGAGAAAATGACTACATACAAGGCAATGTGTCCGTGAAGACTGTGACACCAATGTAATGTGACTTCCTTAGCAACGTTACCCTTGAACAGATGTAACATATCTGAGTATAATCTAATATCTGAGGGAAAGTTGAGCGACTTCCTGCCAAGTTCCAAGTCTGCACAACTGTTATTGGAGCACAGAGCGAAAAGGGGCGGGATGTAGGAAGGGTCAATTAGCTTTACGTTGTCAACAAAGGATGTTCAAACAACCGATGACATCCAGGGTAAAGACTGAGCCGATTATGAAAAGTTAAAGTCTGTGTCAGCCAATCAGGTCACAGATCCGCCACGACAACACTAACATAGAGACAGCGGCCAATAACATCAGCACATTGGAGTCTCTGAAACACCAGCTGCTGTTTGTGTGTGTGTGTGTATTTGTGTGTGTTTAGAATGATGTCAGCACAAGAATAAAACCTCAGGGACAGATAACAGCAAACACACACACACACACACACACACACAAACATATCTGCCTGCAGTAGCATTCGAAGCGACGAGGGATCGACTTGCCAATGACAACTTCCTCCGTCTTCTAACCGCTCCACAGACACACACACACACACACACACACACACACACACCCTATAACACACACTTCACTCAAACACACATACACACACCCGAAGCAGTTCAAAGCATTCCTCCTTAATTAGCGTTCAACGCTTGGCTTGACAAATAAATAGCGATCATTTAAGAACACTAAGAGAGGAATCAGACAGCACATTACACCTCACAATATCTGGCAGCTTCCTGCATGCAATTAGAAAGAGGAGAGGGGGGGATGAGGGGGAGACACGGTGGATCATAGGGAAGAAATACAGAATGGTAGGAAGGGAAGAAATGAAACTCGGAAGACAAGTGAGCAGGGTACGAAGGGGGTAAGAGAGGAGAGGAAAGGACGGAGGAGGAGAGGGGAGAATGGAGGGAAGGAAATAGATAAGGAAAGAGACAGTAGGTGGTAAAAGAGGACAAAAAGAAAAGTAGGAAGTGAATCAGAGGTTATTGAAGTAGGGTGGTTATTAAGGAAATAAGAGAAGGACAGGGCAAAAGAAGGACAGATGACAGGGACTGAAAGATGAAGGAA